ATAATGTTCTATATAAAAAATGTTGCTTCTACAAATAATGTTGCAAAAACATAGGGGTGCACATATCTTTTCAAATTAATGTTTTTCTTTTCTTTGGGTAAATACCTAGCAGTACTATTACTGGATCTTATGGTATTTCTATTTTTAATTTTTTAAGGAACCTCCATACTGTTTTCCACAGTGGCCACACCAATTTACATTCCCACCAGCAGTGCATAAGAGTTCCTTTTTCTCCAGAGCTTTGTCAACACTTGTTATTTCTTGTCTTTTTGGTTCTAGCCATTCTGACAGGTGTAAGATGATATCTTATTATCGGGTTTTAATTTTTTTTATTTATTTTTATTATTTTATTTTATATTTTTGAGAGCAGGGCAGAGGGAGAGTGAGAGAATCTTAAGCAGACTCTGTGCTGAGTGCGGAACCTGGTGTGGGGCTCGATCTCACAACCCTGGGATCGTGACCTAAGCCGAAATCGAGAGTTGGATGCTTAACCGACTGAGCCACCCAGACACCCCTTATTGTGACTTTCTATTTGCATTTTACTGATGATCAGTGATCTTGAGCATCTTTTTCATGTGTCTGTTGGCCATACAGGTCCTTTGTCCATTTTAATTAGATTATTTGTTTCAGGGGATTGAGTTGTATAAATTCTTAAAAACAAAACAAAACAAAAAAAAACACTACTCTTGTTTTCCAGCAAAATGTCGGGGTTTTTTGTTTGTTTGTTTTTGAGTATAGTTGACACACAATGTTACATTAGTTTCAGGTATACAACACAGTGATTCGACTTCTCTGCACTCGCCACAAGTGTAGCTACCATTTCTGTCTGCCCCCTGCAATGATATAGCAATGTCCTTGACTATATTCCCTATACTGTACCTTTTATTCCTGTCTTTTTCATTCCTTGACTTTATTTTTCGGGTATTAATCCCTTATTGGATATATCATTTGCAGGTATCTTCTCCTGTTCAGTGGGTGCCACTTCATTTTATTGGTGGTTTCCTTTGCTGTGTAGAAACTTTTTATTTTGATGTAGTGCCAATAGTTTATTTTTGCTTTTGTCTCCCTTGCCTGTAGAGAAATATTGCTAAGGCTGATGTCAGAGAAATTACTGCCTGTGTTTTCCTCTGGGAGTTGTATGGTTTCAGGTCTCCTATTTAGTTGTTTAGCCCATTTTGTTTATTTTTGAGTGTGGGATAAGAAAGTTCTTCAGTTTCACTCGTTTGCATGTAGCTGTCCAGTTTCCCCAGCACCATTTATCAAAGACTATTTGCCTCCTTTGTCATAGATTAATTGGCCATATAGGCATGAGTTTATGTCTGGGCTCTCTGCTCTGTTCTGCTGCTCTATGTGTCTGTTTTTGTGCCGGTACCTTACTCTTTTGGTTACTACAGCTCTGTAGTATATCTTGAAATCTGGGATTATGATACCTTCAGTCTTGTTCTTTCTCAAGATTGCTTTGGCTATTCATGCTCTTTTGTAATTCCATATTAATTTTAGGATTATTTGTTCTCATTCTGTAAGAAAAAATGCTGTTATTACTTAAGGATAAGGATTACATTGAATCTGTAGATTGCTTTGGGTCGTATGGACATTTTAACAATATTGGTTCTTCCAGTCCATGAACATGGAATATCTTCTCATTTGTTTGTGTCTTCTTTAATTTCTTTCATCAGTGTTTTATGGTTTTCAAAGTATAGATCTTTCACCTCCTTGATTAAGTTTATTCCTACGTATTTTATCCTTTTGGTACAATTATTATTCTTTTTTAAAGATTTTATTTATTTATTTGACAGAGACACAGCGAGAGAGGTAACACAAGCAGGGGGAGTAAGAGAGGGAGAAGCAGGCTTCCCGCCTGGCAGGGAGCCTGATGTGGGGCTCCATCTCAGGATGCTGGGATTATGACCTGAACCAAAGGCAGACACTAAACGATGGAGCCACCCAGGCGCCCCCTTTTGTTACAATTATTAATGGGATTGCCTTCTTAATTTCTCTTTGTGCTGCTTCATTATTAGTGTATAGAAATGCAACAGATTTACATATATTAATTTTATATCCTGCAACTTTACTGAATTCACTTATCATTTTTAGTAGTTTTTGGTAGAGTCTTTAGGTTTGTCTGTAGGTAGTGTTGTCTGCAAATAGTGACAGTTTCACATCTTCCTTACCAATTTGGATGCCTTTTATTTCTTTTTCTTGTCTGATTGCCGCAGCTAGGACTTCTAGTACTGTGTTGAATAAAATGGTGAGAGTGGACATCTTTGTCTTATTCCAGATCTTAGAGGAAAAGCTCTGTTTTTCACCATTGAATATGAAGTTAGCTGTAAATATGTTACCTGTAAAATATGTGTATCTTGACTTAGAATACCGCTCTTAATTCAGTTTAATAAACTGCTTTTAGCAGTAGGAAAAAAAGCAGACTCGGCCACAAAGTTTTATTTATAGGAAACAGTAGTGTTATTGGTGGCTTAATGTTAAAGGGATAAAATAAAGTTTCCAGTATATCAGTTGTGAACAAAATCTTTAATATTTTCATTAGTGAAAATATTTGGTGAGTATTTGGTGAATATTCATTTGGTGAAATTAAATATATTTCTCATATTTGATAGGGTACACAGTCTGGAGACAGAAGAAAACTAAGTCCTTAAAGAAAAATCATTAATAAAATGGATATGTGATCAAAATAAAGTAAGAAAAGATAAGTGCAGAATACATGTGGGGAGAGAAATAATCTATAAATTCAAGAGAGACCAGTTTGCTGTGTACACATATAGACAAGAAAGAATCTAGAAATCAAACTGAATATAGTAGTCATTTAGCACTTAGTTAACAGTCAGCTGAATCTCTTGTTCATCATTGGTTAGTCCCTCATTGCATTACTGTATCTGGTATTACACGTCACACTTTAGGAATTATGTGGGGACTTTTTTTTTAATTCAGGTAAAAGAAAAAAGGTAGGTCAAGAAATTAAAGAATAAATGAATGAGGAAAGATTAAAGTAATATATTCATTCTCTCATTTCATGAACATTTATACATCACACCCCCTATATGCAAGGTACTGTGATAGAAACTGGGTAAAACACATAGTACTTGCCTGCAAGAAGTTTAATGTCTTAGTGGAGGAGACAGGTAAGTACATATAGTGTGCTCTGCCCAGTAGTAGAAAAGTGCCCCCTAACCCCACCTGAGGAGTTGGGGAGGTTTCCTGAAGAAGCTGAACTATGTCTTAAAGGTTAAGGGATTTCCTTTTCCTGTAAGATTCCAGACTAGTAAATAATCTGAAAATTCTCCCACCACAAAACACCCAGCAATGCAGAATAAAATATAACAAGCATCCCTTTAAATGCATAGCAGAGCTTATTTAAAAAAAAAAAAAAAAAAAGGCAAGATAATTCTCCAGGAGCCCAAACAAATACAGCTAAGAAACAAAATTGTAAGTCTTAAAATAAAATAAAATTTTTAAAACCCAAAGTTTTAAAAGGAAAGTAGTAAGTTGCCCTGAAGGGGTTTGCTGGTCTCAATACCCATGACACAGAGATCTCAAAGAAAATATGATAGGTCATAATATCACCCTTTCCCAGGTATTCACAATAATTAAGCATTTATTCTTAATTACCAGGGGCACAATAGTGACTATGCATATTACTAAATGAATATCAAATTGCCTGCTAAATTCTACTTCTTTCTTAATCCTGATTTATTTGTTGCTAATTAATATGATCACCTGCTCTCAAGAGGCAGCATTGCTAAAAGGTACTTAATGTTGTGCTATAATTAGTATATATAGGGGGCGCCTGGGTGGCTCAGTGGGTTAAAGCCTCTGCATTCGGCTCAGGTCATGATCCCGGGGTCCTGGGATAGAGCCCCGCATCCCATCCGGCTGTCTGCTCAGCAGGGAGCCTGCTTCCTCCTCTCTGTCTGCTTGCCTCTCTGCCTACCTGTGATCTGTCAAATAAATAAATAAAAATCTTAAAAAAAAATAATTAGTATATATAGTTAGAATATCTTGGTTTTAAAAGAATAAAAAAAATGAACTGAACTATTGGAATTATCTGTGGGAACTTTTGACTTTCTTAATTTCTAGGACTTTGTGTGCTTTGAAATCACATTTCTTTATGATAATTGATCTGGTGATATTTGATAATATTACAAGCCTGGAGTTTGTGACTATTTGAAAGGGGATTAAAAAGCTACTAAGTTTTTTTAAGATTTTATTTATTGGGCACCTGGGTGGCTCAGTGGGTTAAGCCTCTGCCTTCGGCTCAGGTCATGATCTCAGTGTCCTGGGATCGGGTCCCGCATCAGGCTCTCTGCTCCGCAGGGAGCCTGCTTCCTCCTCTCTCTCTGCCTGCTGCTCTGCCTACTTGTGATCTGTCAAATAAATAAATAAAAATCTGTTTGAAAAAAATATATTTTATTTATTTATGAGAGAGAGCATGAGTGGTGGGAGGGGCAGGGGCAGAGGGAGAAGCAGACTCCCCGCCGAGCCGGGACCCTGATGCAGGACTCAGTCCCAGGACCCCGAGATCATGACCCGAGCTGAAGAAAGCTGCTTAACTGACTGTGCCACCCAGTGCCCCAGAACCACTTTTATGATAAATTCGCAGACTTCTTAGATTTGGCGATAAACTTAGAAAAAAAACATTATAACACTAACCAAGATAAAGGATATACAGTGTCAGGTTTTTGTTTTTGTTTGTTTTGTTTTTTACCACTAAGTGAGTGACCAGGCTGCCAAGAGGTTCCCTTTGGTTTCATATCTGCAGCCCGTTGTCCTGGGACTCTGCTGTAGCTGCTGTGATGCTCAGGTTGCCATTCAGCAACCTCCTGTTCTCCACGGTAGAGAGCTTGGTCCGACGTCACTGGAAGGCTTACAGAACTGTGTCTAATAAACCTACAGAGCTTCAGCATCGGATATATTTGCTGTAGCTTACGTACTTTCATACTTCTGTAATAATGTAGACTTCTAAACTGTGCTATTTGTTTCTTTTACAGGATAATGAAGGTCAGACAGCTTTACATTACGGTAAGATATTTCCAGATTATTAATAATCATAATAGAAAGTTTTCTCTATTTGTTTATTTCAACTTTGTCCAACTCTATGTAGTGCTTAGAAAAATGCCTCGTCAGTTGGTACAGCCTCTGTGGAAAACAGTATGGAGGTTCCTCAACAGAGGAATAGAATTAGAATTTTAGAAATTTAGAATTTTAGAAAATTAGAATAGAAATAGAATTAGCATTTGATCCAGTAATTTTAGTACTGTATATTTACCCAAAGAAAATGAAAACAATAATTCAAAAAGATATGCATCCCTATATGTATTGCAGCATTATTTATAATACCCAAGATACAGAAGCAACCCAAGTGTCCATTGTTAGGTGAATGAATGAAGAAGATGTGGTATATATGTGTATTATGTATACACACACATACACACTAGGAAATACTACTCAGCCACAAAAGAAGAATGAAATCTTGCTATCTGTAACGACATGGGAAAACCTACAGGGTATAATGCTAAGTGAAATAAGTCAGTCAGAGGAAGACAAATGCCATATGATTTTGCTCATTTAAGAAACTAAGAACTTAAGAAACAAAGGAAAAAAGAGACAGACTCCCGTACAGAGAACAGGGGCACCTGGGTCCCTCAGTCGGTCAAGTCTCAGACTCTTGATCTCAGCTCAGGTCTTGATCGCAGGGTCGTGAGTTCAAGCCCCATGTTGGACTCCATGCTAGGCTTGGAACCTGCTTTAAAAAATAACAACAGCAGGGAACAAACTGGTGGTTGCCAGAGGGGAGGTGGGGATGTTGTGGGAGTTGGTGAAATGGGTAAAAGAGATTAAGGCTATACTTACCTTGATGAACACTGAGAAATGTATAGTATTGTTGAACTATCATATTGTATATCTGAAACTAGTATAACACTGTTATTAATTATACTTGAATTTTAAGAAATAATATAAAAACAAATATAAAAAGGAAAATGGTCACTAGCAGAAATACACTAATTTTTTGTTTAAAAATATATTAATAACTTCTAAAGTTGGAGATTCATTAAAATTCTTAAGGGAACATTCATAGTAAATTGAGCCTTTCTATACCATCAACAGAAATGGAGGTTTCTCCAGTCCCCCTTTGAAAATTCATTATTTCATTCTTGGTACTGTCAGTGACAACTGAGGTGCTAGTTATCATCACTGTAGGAGCTCCAGTCTCTCCTACAAGAAATACTTTTCTTGATGTAATTGAAGTGAAGAAAAATAGATTTGATTTTTTAACTCATTTCACTTACTGATTAGCTTAGTTGAGTAATCTTCACTTAACTTACCTATAAAATAGAAGATAATCTGTAAGATGGACATAATGTGGCTCTTACAGAGTACTGGGTAGATTCAGTGAGGTATAAGATATTGAGGTATTTTGTAAATAAAGCACTAGGTAAAATATCCTTACTTTTATTCTATTTGGGCGTGAATATGGTTGAGTAAAAGACAACCATCAATATTTAAATCAGATTAAGGATCAACCACCTTCAGACTTCGGGAAACAGAATAAATACATTAGGCTCTTTTGCCAGTTTTGCCCATCCTAGACCACTATTCAGTAGTAAATGAGCCAGATGCCCCTGGACATTTTTGTTCACTGCTTGTTAGCATTTGCTTGGGTGTCAGAAACCTCACTCGGTTGTCTAGGAGTCTAAACTATTGTGCTAGCTGTTAATGCTAACTGTATTTGTCAGCCTAATAATGAAGATGGAATATCACCAAATGCATGGCCCAACTTCTATCTGAGTTTAGCTAGGATAACCTGGGTACCAAAACCAGCACAGTCAGTCTCACATTTGAACATATATATGAAAATCCTAAATAAAATATTAGCAAATGAAATCCATCGTATTTTTTTAAAGATATGATCAAGTTGAATTTATCCTGGGAATTCAAAGATGATTTAACAGTTTAAACATTTATTACTGTAGTTTGCCACAACAAATTTGTTGAAAACCATTTGGTCAAATCAGATGCAAAGGGGTGCCTGGGGGGCTTAGTGGGTTAAGCCTTTGCTCAGGTCATGATCTCAGGGTCTTGGGATGGACGGGCTTTCTGCTCAGCGGGGAGCCTGCTTCCTCTTCTCTCTCCTCTTGTCTCTCTGCCTACTTGTGATCTCTTTCTCTATCAAATAAATAAAATCAGATGCAGAAAAAGCAATTGAGGAACTTCAGTACAGAATGCAATATAAAGAAGCAATACACAAAAGTGATTAAGACCCTAGGCTCTTAAGCCAGACTTGTGGATTCAAACTCTGGTTCTGCTACTGAACTTGGACAGATTATTTAATAACTTCAGTGCATCTGTTTACTTATGGTGAGATAGGAGTAATAATAATAACCTCAGAGATATACTATAAACATATAATGGGCTAATCTGTGTGAAGTGCTTAGGACAATGTCCAGCACCTTGTAGGTACTCAGTAAATGTTAGCTAATATGATTGTTTTGATAAAAACTCATAATAAACTAGAAATGCCAGGAAACGTCCGTGGCCTGATTATATATCAAAAAGTAGAACATAAATATAAAGAGCTAAGTCCTGGGCAAGTGCATTCAGGAGATGGAGGCTCCCTTATTCTGTCCAGCATCCCCTCATGAAATGGAGGCTTGGATGTGGTACACTGACAGTACTGAGGCCCTGATCACCCTTGTCTTGGCTCGCAAGGTGTAATGGCTCCGTGCTGCAAGAGGCAAACCAGGCTGCCCCGACACTGCCACCAAGCACCAACTCCTAGAGCAGGGGGAGGAAGGGTGTCACTCAAAGAGAAGCTTGCTGCTGTCCCCACTCCCAGCTCTAGAATCTGGCTCAGAGATTTTTCCTAGGGGGAGAAGCACACTATAAAACAGCTCCTAATCTCTTCCCAAAGGAACTGACCTCATTTGCAGTAGAGCCTGGAGAAGTTCAAGGCTAAGGGTAGTCTCAAGAGTAGTGGAGAGCATAGGAGAACACTACATCCGGGAGGAGCCTTCATCAGTACGAACAAGTACCAAACATGGAGCTCTAAAGAAGCCACAATTTGGGTTGGTTTGTAGGATAATTTGTGCCCCAGTTGAGTGGTTTCCTTTGAGCACTTTCAATATGTTATTCCACCGTGTTCTGACCTTGAATATCTATTTATGGAAACAGAAGGAATCTATATCTAGCAAAGCTGCCTTTCAAAAATGAAGATGTATTAAAGTCTTTCCCAGATAACAAAAACTGAGAGAGTTTGTTGCTGACAGACCTGACATGAAGAACTAAAGGAAAATATTCCACTAAAAGCAAATGACCCCAAAAGTAATTCAAATCCATATGAAAAAATAAAGAGCACTCATAAATACAACTATATAGTTAGGAAAAAAAAACAGTATAAATACACACTTTTTTCCTCCTTTCTTTCTTTAACTGATTTTAAAAAGTGATGTCTAAAATAATATGTATATAATGTATTATTGGGCCCATAACATATACAAGTATAATATATTTGCCAATAACTGCCCAAAGGAGATGGATGAGAACAAAGTAACAGTGGGTTAAGGAAGTAACTACAGATGTTAAAGTAATTGTAATAATATCTTGTTGGATTTGTAACATTAATAGATGTAACAGGTATAAGAACACTACCACCAAAAGAGGGAAAATGGAACAGAGATATATGGGAGTAATGTTTCTATATATCACTGTATAAATCTGAAGCTGGACTTAAACCACTTATGTGGTGAACCCTAGAGCAACCACTAAAGAAAAAACTCAAAACAGACATTTCAAAAATAATAGTTGGAGATTCCCCACCCCACTTTTAGTAATGGATAGAACAGCTAAACAGAAGGTGAACAAGGAAATGGAAGACCTGAACAACGTTATAAACCAACCAGATCTAACAGACTTGTAAGAAACACTCCATCCAACAACAGAATATATATTCTTTTCAAGTGCACATAGAGCATTCTTCAGGATATGCAATCTGAAGGCCATGAAACAACTCAATAAATTTAAAAGAATAGAAATAGTACAGTGTATGTTCTCCAGCCACAGTGGAATGACATTAGATGTCAAGACATGGAAACTCACAAATATGAGGAAACTCATCAACACACTCTTAAATAACAAGTAGGTCAAGGAGGAGGAAATAAAGAGAAATCAGAAAATACTTTAGGATGAATGAAAATGAAGATAATACATGCCAAAACTTACGGAGTGCAGCTAAAGCAGTGCTTGCAGAGAAATTTATAGCTGTAAATGTCTATGTTAAGAAAGAAGAAAAATATTGAATTAGTAACTAACTTAATCTTCCACTTTAAGACACTAGAGAAGAAGAGCAAACAAAGCCTAAAGAAAGCAGAAAGAATAATAGAGATTAGAGTAGAAATAAATGAAATAGAGAATCAAAAAACAATAGAGAAAATCAACAAACTAAAAATTAGTTCCTTGAAGCAAAAGAACTAGCTGTTCAACCCACAGAATTATGAAAAATAATACATTGTTGTATTTAAGCCACTAGATTTTGAGTAGTTTGTTACACAACAGTAGATAACCGAACAATGCACCCCATACACATCAATCGGTTTTAGGTAAATTGAATGCATATATAAAGAAAAGCAAAATTAAAAACTTTTAGATGAATGGGGTAAATAATGGCTTATTGGGGCACCCGCGTGGCTATTCGTTAAGCCTCTGCCTTCGGCTCAGGTCATGATCACAGGGTCCTGGGATCGAGCACCACATCAGGGCTCCCTGCTCAGCGGGAAGCCTGCTTTTCCCTCTCCCACTCCCCTGCTTGTGTTTAGTCTCTTGCTGTGTCTCTCTGTCAAATAAATAAGTAAAAAATCTTTAAAAAAAAAAAAAAAAGAAAGAAAGAAAACATTCAGGAATACAAATCATAATTTAAATTATGATAAGTACATTGAAATTTTAAACTTCTGTTAGACAAAAGATAGTATGAGCAAAGTAAGAATGCAAGGCACAGACTGGGAGAAGGTATTTGAAATGCAAATAAC